CCGTTTATTTTTTCCTTAGTTTCCATTGCCCTAGGAGCTGTATCAGTAAAGATATTGCTACTACATATGTCTGCTATTTTGCTGCCTATGGATTCTTTTAAGATTTTTATGGTTTCCAATCTTACATTTAAGTCCTTTAGTCATTTTGAGTTTGTTTTTGTGTATGGTGTAAGTTGGTGATCTAGTTTCATTTTTTGCATATATCTGACCAAATTTCCCAGCACCATTTATTGAAGAGACTATCTTGACTCCATGGTATGTTCTTCCCTCCTTTATCAAATATTAATTGAGCATAATGGCTTGGGTTGATATCTGTGTTCTCTGTTCTGTTCCATTGGTCTATATGTCTGTTCTTGTGCCAGTACCAAGTAATTTTGAGAACAGTGGCTTTGCAATATAGCTTGATATCTGGTATTGTGATCCTTCCAACTTTGTTCCTCTTTTTCAGTATTGCTGTGGCTATTCGGGGTCTTTTTTTATTCCAGATGAATTTTTGGAGAGTTTGTTCTAGGTCTTTGAAATATGCCATTGGTATTTTAATGGGGATTGCATTGAATCTGTAGATTGCCTTGGGTAGTGTGGACATTTTAATGATGTTGATTCTACCAGTCCATGAACATGGTATGTTCTTCCATATGTTTATGTCTTCCTCTATCTCTTTTTTCAATGTCCTATAGTTTTCTGAGTACAGTTCTTTTACCTCCTTGGTTAAGTTTATTCCTAGGTATCTTAATGTTTTTGGTGCAATGGTAAATGGGATTGTTTTTTTTTAGTTTCTCCTTCTGTGACTTCAACATTGGTGTATAAAAAAGCCATAGATTTCTGGTGTTAATTTTGTATTCTGCTAGATTGCTGAATTCATTTATTAAGTCTAGTAGTTTTCTGATGGAGTCTTTGGGATTTTTTATGTCCAGTGTCATGTCATCTGCGAATAAGACAGTTTTACTTCTTCTTTTCCAATTTGGATGCCTTTTATTTCTTCTTCTTGTCTGATCGCTATGGCTAGTGCTTCCAGTACTACGTGGAACAGGAGTGGTGAAAGTGGGCATCCCTGTCTTGTTCCTGTTCTTAAGGGAAATGGATTTAATTTTTGCCCATTGAGTATGATGTTGGCTGTAGGTTTGTCATATAAGGCTTTTATTATGTTGAGGTCTGATCCCTCTATTCCCACTTTTCTAAGAGTTTTTATCAAAAAAGGGTGTTGGATTTTGTCAAATGCTTTTTGACATTGATATGATTATGTGATTTTTGTCTCTCAATTTGTTTATGTGATGTATCACATTTATTGATTTGTGGATATTGTACCATCCTTGCATCCCCGGAATAAATCCCACTTGGTCATGGTGTATGATCTTTCTAATGTAATGCTGGATCTGATTTGCTAGAATTTTGTTGAGGATTTTAGCATCTATGTTCATCAAGGATATTGGCCTGTAGTTCTCTTTTTTTGTGGTGTCTTTATCTGGTTTTGGAATTAGGGTAATGCTGGCTTCATAGAAAGAGCTTGGAAGTATGTCTCCCTCTTAAATTTTTGGGATAGTCTGAGGAGGATAGGTTTAATTCTTCTTTGAATGCTTGGTAGAACTCCCCTGTAAAGCTGTCCAGACCAGGGCTTTTGTTTGCTGGAAGATTTTTGATTACTGCTTCAATTTCTTCGGTAGTTATTGGCCTATTCAGGTTTTTTTTTATTCTTCCTGATTGAGTTTTGGGAGCTTGTATTTTTCTAAGAATATGTTTATTTTGTCTAGGTTGTCCAGTTTGTTTGAATAGAGTTGATCAAAGTATTTTTTCATAATCCTTTGTATTTCTGTGGGATCGGTTGTTACTTCACCTCTTTCATTTCTGATTTTTTTTTATTTGGGTCCTCTCTCTTTGTTTCTTGGAGAGCCTGGCTAGAGGTTCATCAATCTTGTTTATCCTTTCAAAGAACCAGCTCTTGGTTTTGTTGAACTTTTGTGTCTTTTTTCTTTCTTTCTCTATGTCGTTTATTTCCACTCTGATCTTTATTATTTCCTTCCTTCTGCTTACTGGGCTTTTCTTGTTGCTCTCTTTCTAATTCTTTGATTTGTAGGGTTAGGTATTTTATTATCATTTTTTCTTGTTTTTTTGAGGTAGGCCTGTAGAGTCATAAAATTCCCTCTCAGGACTGCTTTCACTGTATCCCATAGATTTTGGATTGTTGTGTTTTCATTGTCATTTATTACCAGGATGCTTTTTATTTCTTTTCTTTTTTTTTTTAAATCTCTTTGGTAACCCAATCCTTGTGTAATTGCATGCTATTTAGCCTCCAAGTGTTTGATTTTTTTTCATTGTAGTTGATTTCTAACTTTATGCCATTGTGAAGATGCTTCATATGATTTCTTGAATTTGAAGAGACTTTGCCTGTATCCCAATATGTGGTCTATCTTTGAAAATGTCCCATGTGCACTTGAGAAGAATGTATATTCTGTGGCTTTGGGGTGAAATGTTCTGAAGATGTCAAATAATTCCATCTGATCTAGTGTGTCATTTAGGATTGATGTTTCTTTGCTGATTTTTTCTTTAGAGGATTTGTCCAATGGTGATAATGGGGTGTTAAAGTCCCCTACTATGATTGTGTTTCTGTCAATCTCTCCCTTGATCTCCTCCAGAAGATTTTTTATGTATTTGTGCACCGGGTCTCTAGTATATATATATAAAAGAAAAAAATATATAATTTTTTCCCTTTCTTTAATCTATCTATTTATGTATTCATCTATTTTTGGAAAAGGAGAATAGAGAGCAGATAGGCCTGAGTTGGTGATTGAAACTAATTAAACTATTAGTAGAAGAAGAGAACAAGTGAGGAGAGGAAAAATAAAAGCATAAAATAAAAAAACAAAAAACTAATAAATAATCAAACAAGAACAACAAGAAAGAAAAGAAAAAATTTGGCTAGCAAAGAAAGAGAAAAGAGAAGTGTGCATGGACTTGGAGCAGGGGAGAGGAAATTAGATATATGAGTAAGCCAACAGAGACTACTTTAATAGTAATGTGTCAATAAAGCAGATAAAGAAGATCAATGATTTTTTAAATTTTTATTTATTGAATTTTAGAGAGAGAGAAAGAGAGAGGGAGAGCAAGAGAGGGAGAGAGAGAGAAACATTAATTTGTTGTTCCACTTATTTATGCACTCATTGGTTGTTTCTTGTATGTGCTCTGACCGGGGATCGAATCTGCAACCTTGGCATATCAGGACAATGCTGCCGTCAACTGAGCTACCTGGCCAGAGCAAGGAGATCAATTTTTAACAAGGAGTAAAAAGAAAGGAGAGAGAAAAACTAAAGCAAGAATAGGAGAAGAGAAACAAGATGAGAAAGGGAAAAGTGAGGAAAAAAGTGTTGGCATAAAGGAAAAAAATGAGTTAGAGTAAAATAATGATAAAAATAGAATGTAGAACACTAATCCAAAAAAATAAAAATTAAAAGGTAAATAATAATAATAATAAATAATATAAAATAAAATAAAGTGAAAAAAATTTTAGTTTCTTATGTAAAAGATAAAAAATAAAAAAGTGAAGCAATGAAGTTTGTTTGCTTCAGTGGAGCTTCAGTGGAGCTTCATTGTCCCATGGAGGCTGGTTTAAGACCCCTCCCTATTGTTCTGCCTGTCACATCTCAGTTTCCTGTCAGGTAGTCAGCACAGTGTTGAAGTTCCCAGCGACCCACCACTCCTCTGTGTCAGACGCCACAGCCTTGGTTTCAGCCAGGCGGGATCAATCTGCCCACTTTGTTTTTCTGCCCGCTTTCAGTTGTATTTACACAAGCATCTATTTCTGACATGGCCCCTAGGTGGCGGTGTTTCTGTATTAGGTTCTGGGACCAAATGGCCCTTCAACCCAGTCCCTGAGGACTCCCTGGGGGTATTTCAAATCTTTGTTTCCCTGCCGAGCTCAAGGCTGGGTGCAGCTATGCTGTTAGGAGGACCCTGGTCTTCAAGAGAAAAATGTCTGTTCAGGGTTGGAGGGACAGACTATCCCAGAGCTGGCTTCCTGATCATCTCTCCCTATTCTGCTCCCCAGTTTCCACAAAAACCACCTTCCCCTGCAGTCTCGGTGAGTGTTTTTATTTGAAAGATCCTATGCACTGGGTTTAGCAAAGAAAAGCAAGGAAATTATAAAGACAGAGCAACCGTGCCACCCCGCATCTTTCTCCCCTCTCCCCCCCTCCCCCCGGCACTGTGCGCCTGGTGTAGAACTTCAGGCTGCCTTTCTGGGTGCAGCCTCCCACGGCTGTGGGCTTAGATCTAGAGTCCCCCGATGCCAGCAGCCCTGGGGACCCCCTTCCACATTTGAGGGCTACACTGACCCCAAGGGACGTGGATTTGGTTCAGCGCAGTCTTCCCCTGAGACTCTAGTCCTGGCTGTGCATGTTTCTCCCTCCAGCCCAGATCCACGATCCCACCTCTCTCCAGGCAATCTCTGACCTTTCCCTCCATGGATCGCCTCACCAGCTGTGTTTAATTCGCCAATTCCAGGTGGATGTTATTCGATTCAGCTGTTTCTTCTATCTGCTGTGTGAGAAGGTGCAATACCTGTCCACCTATTTGGCCACCACCTTGTTCCCCCCCCCCCCAAAGAAACTTTTTAGGTGCCCGCGGCTGGGGAGGCTGGAGTCTGGGTATTCATGGGTTCGCAGCCGAGGCAGCTGGTCCCTGGGCATTGTGGCTGTAGGGCAGTGATGGCGGACCTTTTGAGCTCGGTGTGTCAGTATTTTGAAAAACCCTAACTTAACTCTGGTGCCGTGTCACATATAGAAATTTTTTGATACAGTGGGGCCTTGACTTACGAGTTTAATTCGTTCCGAGACCGAGCTCATTAAGGAGCTCGTTAACTCAAATTACTCTATCAACTCAACGCAAAAAATCGTCTGAGAGACAGCTGGTATCTCAAAAAACTCGTTAGTCGGGACACTCGTAAGTCAAGGCCCCACTGTATTTGCAACCATAGTAAAACAAAGATTTATATTTTTGATATTTATTTTATATATTTAAATGCCATTTAACAAAGAAAAATCAACCAAAAAAATGAGTTCACGTGTCACCTCTGACACGCGTGTCATAGGTTCGCCATCACTGCTGTAGGGTCTCGGATGGTATCCAAGGTCTCTTCGGGTGAAGGTAAGTCTGGGTTTCTGATTAGAGCCGCTCTCCCCTTCAAGATGGTGAGGTCTTTGTGGCAGAGCTGGCCACCCAGGAGAGATTTCAGCAGTAGTAGAGGGTGCCCAGCCAGGGAAGCCTAGTCCACCAGTCCCTGACAGTCCTGTGGAATATAACTGTCCCTCACTCACTCATACACGCACTCCCTGCATGTCCATGCACTCTCCTTTTGCTCTACCACTCACTCAAACTGTCTCCCTCACTGCCGTGCTGTTGGCCTGCCATCTTGGATCCTCCTTGAGCATTTTTAAAAAATAGAAATAAATTCGGACTTCACACACAAAAAAATAAATAAATAAAAATAAAGTGTACAACCTAATGGTTTGATGTACATTGTGAGAGAATTCCCCCAGTAAGTTAATGAACACATGATTTGCATCTTTTGCCATGGCCGCATGGCTTAGGTGGTTGGAGCATCGTCCCATACACCAAAAAGTTATGGGTTTGACACTTGATCGAGGGCACATACCTAGGTTGCAGGTTGGATCCCCAGTCGGGGTGTGTATGAAAGGCAACTGATCGATGTTTCTATCACATCAATGTTTTTTTTCTCTCGCCCCCGTCCTTTTTAAAATAAATTTAAAAAGAAAAAAGAAAAAAAAAGAAAAAAAACCCTCCCTCTATCTTTTTTCCTTCATGAGTCTGGTTATAGGTTTGTCCATCTTGTTTATCTTTTGCAAGAACCAGATCTTGGTTTTATTGATTTCATTGTATTTTTCAAGACTCTATTTCATTTATTTCCACTCTGATCTTCATTATATATCCTTTTGTCTACTTACTTAGGGCCTTGTTTATTGTTCTTTCTCTAGCTCCTTTAGGTGTAAGTTTAGATGGCATATTTGAAATTTTTCTTGCTTCTGGAGGTTGGTCTATATTGCTGTGAATTTCCCTCTTAGGACTGCTTTTGGTGTGTTCCATAGATTTTGTGTTGTTGTGTTCTTATTTTCATTTTTCTCAAGGTTACCTACTATGTAACATATAGATGTTCGTGTTTTTATTTAATCATCATACCACCAGTGGGCTCATCCAGGGGACCCCGATCTGGGCTGGCCCTTGCATCGATCTCCAGCATTTTCTAGCAGGTTCTCTGAGAATCCCTGCAGCAGCCTCCGGAGACGTTCCCAGACTCCGACAGTGGCACTCACCTGCTTTTGACAAAAAGTGCTCCCTTCTCGAGTCTCCCTGATTGAGGGAAGCATCCTTCCTGATTGAGGCGGTGCTGAGAAGGGGTTCAAAGACCTGACATTGTGCTGCTAGGCTTGTAGGATCCACTGTTTCACCTTAAGATTGTGGACATGAGCTGCAGCCGCCAGCCATGCTTCCTGCCTGTGACCCAGGGACAGTCAAGGACAGATGGCTGACAGCAACCACGGGTAGGGTTCAGTCCTGAAGGGGTTTTTGCAACCATTGCGACTAGGTCATTGGTCGCTGCTCTCCTCGGGCAGTCCCTCCATGTGAACTGCTCACTGCATAGCTCCGCCCTTCCAGGCCACGGAGCTCTGGACACAGAGCCCTGGACACAGAACCCAGCAGGATTCAATGGTCGTGGAAAAAGTGCAATAAAATTCAAAATGCGTGTTATGCCAAAAAAATCATCATACAACTCATCTCACAGATGGAAATATTAAAGGTGTTTCCTTATCTGCTAAATAAACAATTCTAAACCCCAAATGAACCATTAATATCTTAAATGCCTATAGTGTGGGGTATAATAAATATCAGCTTAATAAATGTATTTTTACTTTGGCATTCTAGCAAAGTGTTTGATACACACTAAGATTCTGTAAATGTTTGTTGAACTGAACTGGGATAAAATGCAATACAAATTTCGTGAAAACCTTGAAGGTGTCCATTTTAACCAAGGTGCATTTTGAAGATTATGTTTGTTTTGCATTTTGAAGATTATGTTTGTTTTATATTTTTTTACAGTGATATAAGGTAAAGGCAAAAGATTTATCATCCTTTATTCCTCCCCAGACCTCTAGAAGGAAGTAAACAGCAGTTATCAGTATTGGCAACAAACTTGATGTCAACATTTCTCAAGAGAAAGTTCCACAAAGGAGTGAAAGAAGAGATATTATCATCAATGAGTAACTCTTTGTGAGGTACCTACTGCCCATTGGAAAATGCTTTATAAACCTCAGGACAGTTTATAGTTGTGAGATAGTCTCATTACTTTGGCGACTACTAACTAGTACTCCTACCATTACAATATGGCTCTGTGCTAGTGCTATCTAATCTAATAAAAGACAAACATGCAAATTGACTGTACCTTCACTATGCCTTAAGCCATGCCCACCAGCCAATCAGAGCAACTATATGCAAATTAACCCAACCAAGATGGCAGCCGGCAGCCACGGAGCTGGAGCGAGCAGGAGGCTTGGTTGCTCCAGTGATGGAGGAAGCCAAGCTTCCCACCTGCCGCAGCCGGCTCTGAGTGCCACTGAAGGCAACAAAGTTTCAATTATAGAAGGTAAATAAATCCCAGAATAAAAAAAAAGGAGAGGCTAGGAGCTTCCGTCGCCGGGGGGCTTGGCCAGCCTGAAAACGGCCATCAGCCCCTCACCCAGGCTGGCCAGGCATCCCAGTGGGGACCCCCCACCCTAAAGGGGTGTGGGCAGCCTGCAAACACCCATCAGCCCCTCACCCAGGCTGGCCAGGCACTCCAGCAGGACCCCCACCCTGATCCGGGACACCCTTCAGGGCAAACCAGCCAGCCCCCACCCGTGCACCAGGCCTCTATCCTATATAATAAAAGGGTAATATGCAAACTGACCCTAACAGCAGAACGACTGGGAATGACTGGTCACTATGACACACACTGACCACCAGGAGGCAGACGCTCAGTGCAGGAGCTTCCCTCTGGTGGTCAGTGCGCTCCCACAGGGGGAGCTCTGCTCAGCCACAAGCCAGGCTGACGGCTGCCAGTACAGCAGTGGTGGTGGGAGCCTCTCCCGCCTCCTCAGCAGCACTAAGGATGCTCAACTGCAGCTTAGGCCTGCTCCCCGCTGGCAAGTGGACATCCCCCCGAGGGCTCCCGGGCTGCCAGAGGGATGTCTGATTTCCAGCTTAGGCCCAATCCCCCGGGGAGCAGGCCTAAGCCAGCAAGTGGTCATCCCCTGAGGGGTTCCAGACTGCGAGAGGGCACAGGCCGGACTGAGGGATCCCCCCTGCCCCGAGTGCACAAATTTTTGTGCACCAGGTCTCTAGTAAAAGTATAAAAATACATATATTCTGGAAATTAAAGTCTATTTTAGTAGGAATCTGATATGCTTTATATCAGATAAAACTCATTAGGAACATAACATTAACAATATTAGGCTTGTGAACTCTGTAATAATTAGCATGAGGAACCAGAGACCTTTCCTAAGAAGAAATAGAGAAAGATAAAAAAAAAAAAAGGTTTAGGATGCCCTGGCTGGTGTTGCTCATTGGCTCATGCACTGAAGGTCATGGATTCGATGTCCAGTCAGGGGCATGTACCTGGGTTGTAGGTTCCCTCCCCAGCCAATCAGGGTGCATACGGGAGGCAACCAATCGATGTGTCTCTCACATCGATGTGTCTTTTTTCTCTCTCTTTCTCCCTCCCTCCCTCCTTCCCTCCCTCCCTCCTTCCCTCCCTCCCTCCCTCCCTCTCTCCCTCCTTCCCTTCCACTCTCTAAAAATCAATGAAGAAAAGAATAGGTTTTAGGATGATTCTAAAGAAGAACTAAGGGAAGCAAGAATCACCTATGGATTATTTTTACAGTAATCTTTCTTTAGGAGGTGAGAGGAAAAAAGCAGGGTTGGGGAAGTCCTGGTAAGAAAGCAACAGTAAAAAAATAAAATTAAAATCCATGTAAATATTCACAATAGCCAAAGGGTAGAAGCAACCCAAGTATCCATCAATCGATGAATGGATAAATAAGATGTGGTATTTGTATATGTACATTGAAATATTATTCAGCCTTGAAAAGGCAGGAAATTCTGACGCATGCTACAACTTGGATGAACTTAAGGACATTGTGATAAGTAAAATCAGCCAGACACGAAAGGACCAATACTGTATGATTTCACTTATATGAGGTACCTGTGTAGTTAAATTAATAGGGATAAATAGAATGTCGGTGAACAGCACTGGGCAGAAATGGGGAGTTAGTATTGAATGGATATGAAGTTTCAATTTGGGAAGATAAAATTCCGAAGATGGATAGGAGTGATAGTTGCACAACAATAAGAATGTACTTAATGCCACTAAACTGCAAACTTAAAAATGGCTAAAATGGGAAGTTTTATGTTATGTATATTTTGCCACAATTTAAAAAATGAAAGTAAAAAACTGAAAAAAAAGAAAAAGATCTAGAGATCACTTATTATAAGGGAGGGTTTGTGTGGCTGTGGCCATGTCCTGTTAGAAACATTGTCATAGATTCTGTTAGGAACATTATAGCCCAACTACCCGCAGTGTTGAGACGCTGACTCAGGGTCTTGTTTCCCTAGAAAATACGAAGTTAAGATAAATGTGGAATGCTGGCCGAAGACTTTTTATCTGAATCTCTGCCCCTGGGTTGGCAATAGAAGCAGCTTCTCTGTGTCAAAGTGACCTACATGGCTCAGCTTCTTTCAATAAGAGGTGTTCTATTCTCACTGAAATAACATCAAATAGCAGTTTCCCATTGTCTATGATGTTAAAGAGCAAGCTTTCTTGGTCCTATACACTGGATGTTAATTAACAAAAGCAGTTTTTATGGTTTCACAACAGTTTAAACAAACACAACAAAGTCTCTTAGAGTGGCGTAGCTTTGAGATAAATTCTGTTAAGGAAAAGAGAAAGAAGTGATTGAGTCCACTGTGGGACAAGGCTGCTTTCAGATTCTAGGGCTCCATTTTCTTGAGTCTGTCCTCTCTCTTCTTTACACGGTTTTAATTTGTTAATTTGGTGCATCCATTGCTCTGCTTTGGGGCATTAATATTTAAGATTACTAATCTAATGATACTACACACAAAAAACAGTAAACTGTAAATCTTACATTATAATGCCATTCACCTAAAAGTAGGCTACAAATGAATAAAAAGCTACAGCAAAACAATGTGACTCATCAGGCAATGCGGTTCCAACTAGACACATTCTGCTTAATGAAAGTCTTCACACTGTAATCTGTGCACACAATTTGATGACCCTTCATAGAGAGTTTCTCTGAGCCTGGGCTGGTGGCGGGTTGGGTACAACCAAGGAGTTAAAGGTGAAATCCACTCTATTGTTACAGTCTCATAAGGCAACAAAGTTTCTCTCTCACAAAGCCAGCTCACCAGGTAGAAACCACAATGGGAAGGATCACAAGCTCTGTAATTAGTGGCAATACCACTTTCAGGAGAATATATAGAGGATGTAATTCTAGGCTGAATCCAATGCTTGTGACAAAGTTGCACTCTGCACAGAAATTTGCTACTGAATAGCCAACATTTAAGAAACTTGAAAGGTCCTGTTGGTGGCCATCTTTACTTGTGGAAATGATGGAGTAAATATAGTTTCATTAAAACCAAAGCAACCCTGGCCTGGTAGCTCAGCTGGTTAGAGCATCCTCCCAATAAGCCAATGTTGCCGGTTGCCCGATCAGCCTGGAGCCTAAGGCAACGGTGTTTCGCCCCCCCCCCCATCTCTCTCTCTGTAAAAACAACAAAAAGCAAAGCAGATTACAGAGCGAATTTAGCAGTTTTTAGTTCTTTTTCATTTAATTTGCCGCCTGGATTCGTCATACAAGGTCTAGATTTAACTTTGACAACTTGTAAGGGTGGAAGAGTCGTCATTACCAGAGATACCCAACAGCTGAACGAAACAGACACCATCCCTCTGGAAGAAACATGGAATAACTCTTTGCCAATGAAAGAAAGGACTTCCACAACTAATACGTATCTAACGAGAAAAATACCCAGTGTGCCTAGTGGAGGGGCAGTTAAGTAAAAAGGGGTGGGGGAGGGGGTGCGCGCACAAAAGCAAAGATATATTTGACCCTCCTAACCTACAAATAGATAACCAGGTCTTTTTTGACCCAACAACGTAAGGAATTTCTTTGACAACTAGGCAGTTTACAACTAATCCAAACTCAGGAAATGACTCTTCGAAACGAATAAACTTAGTTCTGAAAAACAAGCGCGTCCAATAACCTCCGAAAACACGTGGCGGGGGCGGAGAAATCGGTCGCAGTAACAGGCGAGACTCTAAGTCCCATCATCCTATTCGGCAGTTAAGCCGGGCTGTCCAGGGCGAGCCGGCGCACTAGATGCTGGGACTTGTGGTTTTTGCTCCTGCGCCTCCCCGCGGGTTTGCGACGTTTAGCGACTACCGCGCCTGCGCCAGCGCCGGCTGAGGCTGGGGTAGCGGCTGCGCGTGCCGGGCGATGCTAGGCGGCTCCCTGCGCTCCGGGCTGTTGCGAGGTGTGGGTGGGAGCCGCGGGCAGTTCGGGGCGCGGGGTGTCCGCGAAGGTGGCGCAGCCATGGCGGCGGGGGAGAGCATGGCCCAGCGGATGGTCTGGGTGGACCTGGAGGTGAGTGAGGTCGGTGTGGGTGAGGGCAGGCGAGTGCGGTTTGGTGTGAGCCTGTCCGGGGAGAGCGGCGGGGGTCTGGGTCTCGGAGGTGGTAGCTGAGTGCCTCCCGGGAGTGGGCGGCGCGGGGCAAGTCGGGGGGCAGGAGTTCTGCGGGTGTTGGGGTGTTGGGAACTCTGCTAGACTCTGGGGTTTCCTTTCAGAAGGGAGGAGTCATCCATATGGCTGCTCCCCTCCCCCCCAGCCCCCCAACTCGCTAAGTCCGGTCGCGTTGAGCTTAGGGTCACGGCTAGGGCTGGGGTGGGCCAGCGGCTCTGCTGGCCCCACTTCCCCAGCCTCGGGGGACCCTGGGTGGCTGGAGCTGGACGGGACTCCGGAGATGACTCAGCCTTCCCCTTCATCCCATAAACCAGGAAACTGAGGCCCAGAAAGAGGAGTCCGCTCAGTCCAGCCGGGCTGTGAGGGAGCAGCTGCGCTGGGAGGGGACCCCACTTTTGTTCCCTTGGGGTTTTCCACGCTCCTGCCAAGCACATCCCCTTCCTTGCAGCCTGGGTTTTCTCAGATATGAAATGAGGATAATAACAGTACTTTTTCTACATTTGATTGCGATGAAGATCAAGCCGTGTAATC